AAAAGGGACCATAATGTTGACAATCCCTCGCGTGCGCCAACAGTGTGCTCACGGGACTCTGGGCTGTAGGACTTCGGGTTCCCTCGGCGAAAGGAGGATTACCCAAATGATAAAGGGATGGTGAGGGGGATTTGTGGGTTCAGGGTTTGCACAGGACCACTGCCGAAATTCCATTGATAGGTAGAAGGGGCAGCTGGTGTTTCTTCTGGTGATTTCATCCCGCGTCCAGTGCTTCTATCAGAACTAATGACACACTCAGCCCCAAAGCCGAAGCCCAAGTACTAAGCAATTCTCAGCCAGGAACCTTGCCGAAAGTGAGTTGTGCAGAATGCTGGTTCCTTGTAGGGATCCTCGCAAGAAATGCCGTATTGTTCGGAATTAAATGGACAGACCGGTACTGTAGTCAAGTTTTGAAGCCGTCAGGTGGTGATGTGTCAGGTCCTACCACGTCTGGCAGAATTTTTCAGCACAGAAGCCCTAACCCCTAGGCCCCACACACTGGAAGCTGCATGTGGTCCAAGCTGTTTGCCAGAATTGAAGCAGAGTAAGCCGAGCAGTTGACATGGCACGGGTTTCCGCCATACCACTACTACAAACCTTACATTTGTCTATTCGCACTTCGGGAATGGCAATATGATGTATGCTTTGGGCAACCGTCCTTGGCCTCCCGAATCGCTGCCCTCCCCCTCTCTCTCTCTCTCTCTCTCTCTCTCTGCCTGTTTGTCTGTTTGTTTGTCTGCCCCTTTCTCTCTCCACCTCCTTCTGATGCAAATGCGAAAGCACGTCCAAGGCTAGACTGCTTTTCGCATCTAGGCAGCCCACTCAAAACAGCCAGATGTATGTACAAAAGAAGAGGAAGAACTAAGAAGGAGTGGATCAACAATTTGATATTTCTGGGAACTAAGGTCATGTACTGCGTGGGTATGACTAAGGAGAGCTTGAATTACGGCAGACGATTTCAAGGAGAGTCCTGAACGCCTAAATTCTTGGACAAGATTCTGATATCCTGAAGCCCAAAATAAAAGCACTAAATCCCTGAACTCTGTTTTTGGAAAACTCCTGCGTTACTTCGTGAGGCCATGGTGAGCCGCTTGCAGGCGCGCTGCCGCAGCCCCAGCTGAGATGAGATTGAGGATGCAGGCATAGGGTAGGGAGCATAGGGTTTGAGGATTAAAGCATCTTAGAGCAACATGCTGCAGGTGTAGGTTGGAAGAGTTAGGGCCGCCCCGCAAGAACGGACTACCAAGACGACGGCGACAAGACCCAGTGAAACGGAAGGTAGGCATGGTTCCGTGATTAGGGGATGGCAATTGCAGTTTGTTGAGCAACGTTGCCAGCACCCACCTTCAAGAAATGCGGCGCCCCTTTCAGGAGAAAGTTGAGGTTCCAGGAGACACCGGGAGTGCTGTAGCAGCCGTAGCATTTGCCTGAACCGATGTTTTGGCCTGCCCAGAAACCTAAAAGTTGGGTACTGTTCCCCCTCAGTAACAGTTGGATAATAATTATATTATGGTTATATGTAGCCCTTAATAGGACCCCTAATATAGACTGTTACTGGGTGGGGGCAGTACCCAACCTAAAAGTTTCTGAAACCCCAAGCAGCCGACTCTTAGACTCCAAGCCTCATACTTTGCCCCCCTAAACTAGCCGTCCAATGTTCTAATTGTATTAGTGTTCTACCTTTCGTATGGGTCTTACGTATGACAGTTCCAGGTTGAGAGCCGTATCCAACCTATCCCCCAAGCAGCTTACCTTTTTTCCATTACTTCCAGTACTCAGGCTTTGCTCATCCGATTAACTTTCACCTCATGCGAGACAGCGAAGAGATGGCTCCTGCGTCCGAGAAGACTTGGTGCGCTGCTGTGATGGGGGGTTCAAGCTTCTGAGAACCCCGAGAAGTGAGCTACTTGAGAAGATAGCTCAGTAACCCATCAAACTATGTGCCAGAAAGGGATCCCCAATCTCTTTGTGCCGGAACCCCAGAGTGGGATCCAGCATGTGGAAAACTGGCGAGTAGGAGATGTGAGTTGTCAAGAATTATCAAAGCCTCGCAGACGACGAACAGGTATAAGAATGAGTTCCTCCTGAAGACACCGAAAGATCATGCAGAGGATGGCGCTGTGCTCGAAGTGCATCTTTCCTGGCAGGGTTCAGGCAGTTCGGGGAGGCAATCCCAGCTTTCAATCTGCTGATGTTTACGATTTTGATTTCAGCTCCCAACAGCTTCGCCTTGGTCGGGGGTTTTGCAGCAGTTTCTACTCTTGTCTTGTTTTTAAGTTATGCTGCGAGCTGCTGACGAGGACATGGCTAAAGCTGAGAAGCCGCCTGTGGTGCATGACACTGCCGATTTGGTCCCTACGTCAGGCTATGCCAAGGGGCGAAGCTTGGGAGTTGGATATAGTTGGATGTTTTTAAACTCGCATGTAGTGTCCATATTCCTTCCATCAACTGAATGGCAGGGAAGTTGTTTCTCATAGTCCCATGGCTGGTGGACAGTTGCGAGTTTGTAAGATTTGGTTGTTCGGTTGAACTGGGGCATCAGAAGATCAGAAGCCAACACTGCAACCCGGAGCAAGTGCCGGATTCGATTGTGTTCTGCTTGAAAGGCGACCCGCACCAGTACTATGGCATGGGGAACTACCAGTGCCCTGGATTTCTTCTTTCCGAGTCAGTTTGTTTCTGCACACTCTGATATAACCCCTATATAACCCCAGTTTCCATTTCATTTTCCATTTTCTTTTCCATTTGATTCTCCATTATTGGGGGAATATTGGGTATTGGTCTGACTTTGCACATGGCTAGCACAGCAGATTGCACTTCCCAAGCTCTGATTTCCAACATGCATGGGCTCGCCATCTCTCAGTCTTCTCCGTGGTCGCTGGTGGTTTTTCTTAGGTTTTGCCTCGCAGGTACATGCATTACGACACTGTCCGGGAACCAACTTTCCCTCGAAAGCTTGGCACCTGGTTTTTGCTGGCTCTTTGATTGGAGAAGGTTTCCTGAGGGACGCAAGGAGTCCCAAGATTGGTAAAGGCGTGTATGTTTCCGCGGATGTTTTTTGGCATCTCTGCAGAAAGGGAAGCCACTCCACTGATTTCTGAACGCAATTTTGGATTTGGATGCGGCGTTGGGTTGGAGAATAGCTTGCATTTAGGGATTGGAAAGGTGCTATCAGATAGCCTGTTCCAGTGGTGCAGTGCCGCGACAAAGTTCTTGGAGAGGAAAGGTGAGACTGAACAGGCTGTTGGAGGGGATTTTGGCTTGTGCGTTGCGCGTCCACAGTTCAGGCCAGATGTTGCCAAGGGCGAGCTCGCATCCGGCGCCACTGCCGATGCCTTGGAGGAAATCAGGAGTCCCTTGTACAACTCTTCAATGGTTAGGCTTGAAGGATCTTGAAGGGTTGAAGAAATCGAAAAGCGCAGTCCCTGCTTGGAAGATAGTTATCATGCATCAGGAATAGCGCCATACTTCAGGAATAATAAGTCATGCCAGTCAAACGGAGAGGGCAAGTCATACGTTTAGCAGGTCACGCGCACCGACGTCTGGCACGACCCGAAGGCTTGCAAGAAGCCAGTTGCACAGTAGCCTCTGCCATCACCTGTTTTCTTTTTGAATAGGGCGTATAGGGTTAGGGTGTAGGGTTTAGAGCTGCAACCATCAAAAGCACTTGAGAATGGCCTGGCATAGGAGCCTGCCATCGTCTCTGTCGCCAAGTTTTCGCCTGAGAATTTCCGACCTGTCCGGTCCTTGGCTTTGGGATCTTGCTGAGTTGAAGGATTCTATCAGGGTCATCTCCTGTGATCCCCGAACCCCTGCAAAATCCTGGTTGAAACCTGTACAAGCTTGGGGCCCCTGAGCTGTTCTTCAGGTGGGCTTTGCCGAGAACGCCCCCATGCCCACCAGCACCGTTCCTGAGGGAGCGTTGGACTTCCGGGCTTGGGCCTTGGAGTAGGTGTATGGCCCTTAGACTTGCGGCGTTCGGCTGAGCTTGAGATTTGAGAGTTTAGGGTGGAGGGCTTGGGCTTTGGTTTGAGGGTTTGAATTGTAGGGCTCAGGGCCTCTTCCTTGTCTGGCTACCTTTGCTGCTAATAGTCTAATATAGCAAGTACGCATGCCTGCGCTTCGAGACTTGTCCGAGGCCAACCGCCTTCCGATTGGCCATGCCGACCGCCGGCCGTTCATCTACTTCATGACGGCGTGGGATTCTGAGTTCGGCCAGTCCAAGATCTTGTGCTCTATTGTTGAGGGGGGGTAGGGTTCCAAAGTATCTTGCCTGGACCCCACCCGTTGCCAGCTTCTTGATTGATGGACACGGACTGGACTCCCTAAGCCCAGACCTTGCCAATCTATCTGGCGGTTGCCACAAGATTGGGTTCCTCCATGCATCTCTGTAATGTCCTTATAGTCCCCATTAAGTAGATAGAATATGGCTTTGGGTAGATTATAATAAGATCCCCATATACCCCATATTCCCCGTTATAATACGGCACCTAGTATTTAGGGTACCCAAAAAGGGACCATAATTTTGACAACCACCGAAATCCATCAAAACCAAGCACAAGAACCCAAGTCTTAACTAGTCTGAACCTTCAAAGCATGGAGGTTCATGGAACTTAGGTCCATTTGAAGGGGGGGGGTGTAGGATATATATATATATCTATATGGGGGTTGTCAAACTTATGGTTCTTTTTTGGGTACCTAAATATTAGGTGCCATATTATAATAGGGACTCAACAAGGGATCATAATTTTGACAAATAAATGCATATATATATATGCATTTATTTATTTATATGTATGTATACAAATGGGGTTTAGGGAAGGGGTAGTTTGAAGATTCACGAGGTTGACATAGGAATTGTTTATAGACGGATCTATAACCATACTTAGACTTGCTTGGGAATCCTGAAAAGGCCATCTAGGAGCGTTTAAGTGGCCGTATAAAACCCTAAACCCAAGGTCAGCCTTGAACCTTAAACCCTAAACCCCAGAGCCTCAGGGCCAGTGCTGTTATCGCTGCTTCACTGATCCGTGCGGTGGCCGGAAAGCTCATCTTGACGCTTTGGCCTGCGAAGGCCAGGTGTAGGGTTGAGGGTTCAGGCTTTGGGTTTGCCAGATGTATGTGAAGTAGTGCCGCAGCCGGTCGAGGTCTCAGCAGCAGACAAGGCCTTTGTAAAAGCGGCTTAACTACAGCCATGCATTCAATTACGGCAAGATTTCTGGTAGGCAGACGCCAGATGCTGTTGGTGATGAGTTACAGAAGCCGCGCTTGTGCACACGCAAAGATGGCCAGAGATCTGTAATCCATGCTTCAGGGCTGTAGCTGGGAAGTGTTTCCAGGCCTACACCAAGGTCGATAAATCTTCCAAGCTTTGCCATAAGTCCTGCAGACGCAGGATGTGTTTGCAGCTGGCATCGTGGAGGCGCACCAGTTGATATCTTTGGCTTGAGCCCATTCTGTCGTCTCCAAGCATATCAATGCAACGACATTTCGCTTAAGCCTAGACTCATGGGCGCAGTCCCAACCAGGTGGATCTGCGGCCAGTTCAAGTGGGACAGAACTTCACCGCTTCTTCCTCAGTGCAGTTTTCCATCAAACGCGAGCAAGGCATGCAGGGTTCCCTGCATGCCGCCGACAATAGCGCAGTCCCTTTCTGGAGACATCTGGAAACCTGAAAGGACACATCATTTTGAGAAAGTCTCCGATTTGTGGAAATGCAAGCAGCATTCAGAGGTCACGTGGCGTGAGAAGCCAGGGGGGGTTCCCAAGTATATGTTGGTTTTGATTGTTCGCTGTGCGTTCCATTTTCCCTCACGACAGGTCCAGGTGGATATTGGTTGTTTTCGTTTACTTTCATCATGAGTCCTTCCTCTAGAACTCTATCCATTACCATATGATTACTTCTTGCCTTCCTCCTAAGTTGTAATACTGCAGAACTGTGCTTTTCTTTGTGATCCAAGATTCAAGCCCCAAACAGACCACACCGAGGCAGGGGGCATTCAAACGGACATGTCAGATCTGGAATAGGGAGAACCCTGTGCCTGTGAGGCAGACGTCAAAGTCCGAAGGGTCGAACAATTCCTAAGCCCGAAAGCTGTGACATCTTCAGGTTAAGTGGCGTGAGAAGCCTGTCTTCATCCGCAAGCGCACAGAAGACCAGATCGCCTCCGCCAAGAAGGCAGTGTACTGAGGCTTACAGTTTAAGGTCCAGGGATAGGGATTAAGGTGTCATATGAGCCATAGTTTAAACTCCTTAAAGAGGGTTATATGGGGGATTATATAGGGGACTACTATCGGGGCTATTAAG